TCTCAAAACACCATATGACACATTAATGGTAAAAAATATGTCATACGTCGACGATAAAATGCCTAATAGACCAATTCCTAATTGCTTGGATGAACACGAAACATTGGCTTCATTTCGAGGCTTGAGTTTTTCTTTTCTTTTGTCGAAAACTCCAGCCTCGAAATGATGCCATTGTTTCGTGTTCATCCAAGCGAATGTGGCGGATTAGTCTATTTGCCAGTTCATTAATGATGTCAGCTACGCCGAAATCTCGAGMCCCGAGAGTCTTTTCGCGGCTAATGTCAGCTACGCAGAGGCTACGGTTGACCACCACCGCCAMCACGTGTATCGATTTTAATGTGTCCATTTGACATCTGGCTCTTCATCGTAGGTCCGGCATGCAAGCTAACCGTAAAGACAAGATGGTTTACGCCTCCACCAAAGAGGACGTTAAGAAATGTTTTGGCATCAGTGGCAAACATGACTTCCAACTGGATGATGCAAGCGATATGAACTATGATGAAATCGCTGATGAAGTCTTGAAGATCAAAAAATAAAAAACACTCATTTTCATTTCTTAGTACTGTTGATCCAGTTATTTTTTTGTACTCGTTGATTTATGAGCAATTAGCCATTCCAAAATTCAAGAGACTGGATATCAAGCTGAAAATTGTCCACATATCGATAACTGAACCTCGCACATAAAAGACCATACTAAAATTAGTGTTCTTGTCAAGTTTGAACATATGTTGAATACTCACCGAGGTGCAATTTTTTGACATTTGTAAAAATAAGAGAGAATGTATGGTTTTTGGGGACGCCGCTCAAGAGCTGCATACATTCTTTTTTATTTTTACGAGTTTTAAACGCTTGTAACTCTGCAATTATAAATCCGAATACGCTCAAACTAAGCAATCTACACTTACTTTCACATGCGCTTTCTTGTCCTGGTATCTGATTTAAATTTTTAGACTGCTTCAAACGGCAYCGAGTTTGTCAGAGAAGAGCGGTCCTTTTCTGAATTTCGGAATGGCTAATACATTTTCAATTTTGATTTCAATTTTACACTACAGTCGTCTTCTCAATATCGAGCCAGCAAGGAGTTTCTCAAAGTCGGTTGTTATTTTTTATATATTTTATTACACGTTCTTGAAAATTACAACTGAGTGTATAAAAACGAATATATWTCATCTTAACAACAGATATTTGAAAACCACTGTCAGAACACTGGAATAAAAAAAAATACTCAAAAAAACTTCGGTCACTTWTGTTATTTACCCTCATTAACAATCATTGTCTTTCCGAACAGTTTTAGCTTGATACAAAACAATTTAACGAATTATTTAATTGAAAGCTCTTGAAGATATTGAAAATTGTACCAGAGCTCCTGGTTACATGGAGTTACATGGTTAATTGGTCACTTTAACTTTTGAGGGAAAACTTTGAATTCAATAGACCTAATCAGCTAACGCGTTGCTATGTACCTTAGCACCCAATTCAGTGGGGAAAAAAGAACTTTTCTTTCTAAGAATTCAACTGTGAAATAAAAATACAACGAACAGTAAAACTTACTCCCGGGTGGTTTGTTTCGGATTGAAAACGCGTTTGTCGATTAGGGACTGCGCAATATTTATCAGGAGGGGGGTTGAGAATCCAGACGGGGGGGGCACGTCTAAACTAACAATAGAACTTTATTTGAAAACTGAAAAATCAACGGTGTCAAATTCGAAAACTGCTCAAGAACAACGTGCCACGGTTTGCGACAACTCTTTATTCGCGAACATTAGATRAATTTCACGACGGRAGGGGGGAGCAGAGCGTAATTTATTTCGTTTGCGAGGGGGTATTAGGACTAGTTTGTATCCCGCGAGGCACGGAATCGTGACGGAATACCACAGGTAACCCGTATTTTTCTTAAGAGCGCGCGCCGATGCGATAATGCGCATTCGTTCTTTTTCTTTCTCTCAAGAAATAGTTGGGTGACCTATGTGCTGACAAGGCCACAATAGCGTGGGTATCGAAACGTTAACTTCTTTGCTAAGTTTTATTACTATTAAAATGTTTTACTATCGAATGTTTAACTGTTAAATAGATAAATGTAAACTACAATCGTTGACAAAATCCTTGGAACATTCCAGCGAATTTCCTCATTTAAAACAACACCCGCAGTCAATTTCATCCCCCCTGACCCCCTGAATGCAATGTTGTCAATGATCATGTTACCATAGTACACAAGCATCCAAAACAAGACCCAACATTGATGAAAGGGGGCTAAGGGGGAAAACTGTGAAAAAATAAAGGAGAAAAATGTTGGGCTGGAGACAAATAATTAATTTTGTACGGTCCCAGGTATTTTGGCAACGATTGTAGATTTAATCCCTACAGGACCACTAGAGGGGGGAGGGGTTGTTCGCCTAATTTTAACACAATCGATGTTTTTTATTGTGCAATGACTTCTCTTTGTTATAATTAAACCCTATAAAACTATACATTTTTACAAAGCTTACATTCTGTACCTACAATTTTTGCGAAGAAATATCACATGAGAAATATAGAAAAAATATGAAAAATCTTCAAARTGCAAAAAAATTGCAAATTGACAGCAATTGTCTTACTTCTAGTCATTTTTTRCCAAAATATTTCAAAAATATACTTGAACATTACAAATGCTAGTGAATARAGTTGAGTGGATAGATTGCATGCCATAATCTAGTCACAAGTTGCAACTGTGTGAGAAACAATACTGTGATAGCCTACTGTAGCTCTCTGTACTGATTGCAAATGTTGCAACAATGACAAAGAACAACAAAGAAATATAATTTTACTTTTTACAAAACATTAATAATTCAATTCAATAACAATTATCTCAACCTCCTCGTTGAAATCTATAGTTTGAAGAGCTTGTACACGAAATGACCATAGCTTCTCGAAATCGTGTTTAGAGCTACCATTCTCGTCTTCTACGTCTTCGCATTCTTCACTAGAGTCCTCTGAACAACAACTACTACCTGAACTACCCGGGGGGGGGAAGTACTCCCCTATATTCGCTATACGTGGACGTGCCGCCAACCAGGGTATCGTTTTCAGCGATTTTACTCTGGAACAGGGAATCGATTTCAATGAATTTTCTCTGGAACAGGGTCAGGGTTGAATTCCGGAATTATTGATGCTGGTCTACACGCAAGCTAGTGCAGGATTTTACTCTGGAACAGKGTATCSTTTTCAGCGATTTTACTCTGGAACAGGGTATAGTTTTCAGCGATTTCACTCTGGAACAGGGTATAGTTATCAGCGATTTCACTCTGGAACAGGGTCAGGGTTTTGATGTCCCAGCGGCACACCCCCACCCAAGTTTCGGGGGAGTACCACCCCCCCCCTCCCCGGGCTGAACTACTTGCACCAGAGGGATCTTCATCGTCAGAATCCACATGAACCGCTGTACATTTTGTTTAGGTTGGCAATAACAAGGTCATCCTCGTCGACAGAAGCAGTAAAACTGGCACAAAATCCTCAATCACTTCAGGTTTTTAATTGACGATAAAAACTCATTCACTACATTGTTTCCCTATTGTTTAATCTCTCAAGAACAAAAGACATATATATATTAAAAGTTGCAGAATTATTTTGGTTAGGTGTACAGCTGTTTGCAATAATTCTGACCCCCTCTGCCATATTTCATATATATCAAACTGACCTTTAATATTATGGGATATCATGACTGATATATTTTTTGAGTTGTCCAGAATGAGTACTTTCTAAAAAAAAATATCAGCAATGGTATCCCATAATTTCTAAGGCTATTTTGATATATATGAATATTAGTGTAGGGGGGTCAGAATTATTGCAAACGGCTGTATATCATATATATATATATATATAAATTGAAGAAATTGAAGAAAAAGGCACACAACTATATATATTGATGAATAAATGCGAAAAAAGCGAAAACACAAGAAGAAAACCGCAAGCGCGCGCTAGATTTACCTGATTCTTTGCTTGTTGTTTTACTTTGGATTTGTGGATTACCTGTGGTGCTACGTCACGATCCCGCGAGGCAAGGGATCGTGACGTAGTACCACAGGTAATCCGCCGATAACATATACATATTAAAAGCGTGCGCATTCGTTCTTTTAAGCCTCTAAAGCAATAGTTGGGCGGTCTATGTTTTAAGTGGTATTAAGTGGTATTAAGTGATTAATTTAGTTTAATATTGTATAGAGTATCATAGCATCATATTTGGCCTCGTGTTGTTATCTATTAGCCGACTCGTCAGTCGTATTCTCATATTATCGCTTCTTTTATTACGCAAATTTTTAGTGAGTTATCTCAGTCAGCGGTTATTAAATAACATTCATACTAATCCCATTTCTCCACGGTWAAGCTTAAAATAGACAATAATTTAGTATGTCATAATTTTCCACACGTACACATATGTGTGATTGGTCCTTTAGGRGCACTTTTTCCGTATGTTACTCAAACGTGAAGCKTTAATTATTGAAAAGCACAGACGCAAATCGGACATTGACTACATGACCAAATAAGGCTACGTGGATGTTGATTGACGATGCGAAACATCCACAAAATCTGATGACAAAGAACTAATGCACTAGGGGCCAGGGTAAACTCACCAATACACAACTTTAAAAAAAATACTKGCTAGAATATACTATAATTGTTTTTGGAGAATTATCGATGATGATTTTAATAATATTGTTTATYATTCAAGTTTCTGTAAGTATGCACTCGAAGAGAAGTTTCTAAAGTTATAGATTATGAGTACAAAAACATTTCTAACAAGTCCATCTTCCTCCCCCCAGGACCGTGGAATGTACAGTCAATCCATTAACTTTGTTCACAAGTAAAGACATGTTTTTTTAGAATTTCCAGGAAGAATTATAATTCTAAACTCTAAATAAATGGCAAATGAAAGGTTATTGACACTATAAAGAATGTTTGTTATTTTATGATTAAAGTTCCAAAGAATTAAAAATATGATGTGTGCAAATGGCTTTGTTGTTTTCTTCGTGACAACCGAACAACGTCAATGGCTGTATCATGCCAAGGAAATCACGTGGCTAAATATGGGGCCACGCCAAAACTCATATCTAATCGCTAATACAAGCGCTGACAGTTCAATTTGGATATACATTGTGGAGTACAAGTTGTTTCCTTTATAACCCTAAAGTAAGTAAAACTTTTTTAAAAGCGTTTTTAACTTTATTCTGTCTTCAAAACAAAACTCTGAACTCGTTATCAGTTTAGTTTGCCGATGTTTTCGTTAGTTTAGTGTTAGTGAGTTGCTTCGCGTGATCAACACGACGATGCGGAAATTGCCATATATATTCATCTTTATATGTATCGGGATTTTATTTATTCGAAAAACATTAACTGTATCTTCAATTCACTTGTAATTGTCATTCGTATGACATATCTCAAGGTTTACAATTCAATGTCTTAACTCATTACTATGTGATAATGCCATATTCATACTTCGAAGTTGGTCGAACTCAGTGCTATGGAGGTCAAGCGAAAGCGAAAGCTAAAAATTATTCAATCGAGCCTCATTTCTTCTCGGAGCATTAAATGCAAAACACAACGGACYCATGACTTAAACTAAGCCATAATGGAATTCAGTGTCTCAATATATGAATTTAATTCTAATTTAGAAGCAGCTAACCACCTTACCACAGTTGATTTTGAACTCGTAAAACTCGGTTTTGTGACTCCGGCCGATTAGCAGTCAAAACAACTCGAAAGAGAAACACTATTGATACGAAATATATTCTTTGTCTTTGTTTAATATAGCAAACAATGTAAGTACCTGTTTTAAATTGAGAACGGTTGTCAAACCAAGCAGTGTCGAAATATTCCTTTGTTGTATTACCATGTATTTGTTCTAATCTTACTCTTCGCCGTTCCTCTTTTTCATTCGACACAACGACGGTTTGCTAYAGTAGATTCAGCGATACATGCATTAATAATTTAAATATTGATGCTCYCCTGACACATCAATGCGCTATATTTACATGTTTTTCGCCGTACTGTGGTGGATCGCTTGTAGCAAGCAATGGACCGCTCGAGACCCGTATTAGTACATATGCTAATGAAATCAAAGTGATAAGGGAGGGGTGGTCAAAATGAGGTAGCAATTCTAATTATGCAATAGTTTTGTAAAAAGATAAATTTAACAACGTAGAAAAGTAGGTGAAATAACCTTACTGACGTTTCGGACGTTGATCCTTCGTCTTTAATACTCCTCATTTGTCATATAATTATTTATGAAAACCTATATTTTTCCATTTCATAAAATTGATACTTTCACTAGTTGTGATGTTATTTTCACTAGTGAAAATAACACATTCGAGGTTTCTCTATGTATTGGAAGAATAAAAGCGGTATTTTTACGACATAATTGTTTTCATATAAATTATTATGGCTACGCTCACTCGTGAAATAACTTTTCAACACTCTAAGATGAAATCCGTATCTTCGGTCGCCCATGTAATATCCTCTATTTACTACTTATGTCCGAAACGCCAGAATTTATTTCACCTACTTTTTTACGGTGTTAGATTTATCTTTTTACAAAACACGGGTGGACTAGTGGTTAAGCTGCTGGCCCCTCACCGCTGTTGTCCGGGTTCGATGAAGGTTTCACATTTTAATACGAAACAAAAACCACTTCGTGGAAAATACTGTGTCCAGTTTACGCTAATATATACTTTTACCAGCGCCGCGATCGATTTGATAGATTTTGCGTATGATCTTTTCACATCATTTTTTTGAATATTTTTATCATTGCCGCGAAAATTTAGCATTCAGATTGCATTCCCATTATCCTCAGAGAATTTATAAGATGAAAGTTTGCTTCGCATAAAATGATTTTAGAAAGAAAAAAAGGAACGAGAATATTTTAAAGTTAAAAAAAGAAAGAAAGAAAGAAATTGTTTAGAAGCTGCTCAAGTTGAGAATCGAACCCGAGATCCTTCAAAGCCACTATTCAAGTATGATCTACCGTGTAAAATATGTAAAACAAATATCTACAGGAAAAATAAGAATAAGTATATTTCAATAAAAAAGAAGCAAAAAAGAATCCCTTAGAAGTGATATCAAATCGAGAATCTGACCGGCCATCCTAAGTTCGACGCTATTCGAGTACGATAGTCTGCACTAAATATAAAAAAATGGCTCGAAAATAATTGTTAAACGAATATCTACAGAATAAATCAACATGACTATAACAACTTCATTTCAGTTAAAAAGAAAGAAAGAAATGAGTCGAGAATCAAGGGCGCGAACCTACGTTCGACGCTATTCGAGTATAATATTCTGCATGTGTAAATCAAAAAAATTGTCTCAAAAATAATTGTTAAACATCTACAGATCTACAAAAATCTACAGAAAATCAAGATGACTATAACAACTATATTATATTTAAAACGAAAGAAAGAAAAGAAAGTGCTCGTCTCGAGTCGAGATTTGAACCTGCGATCGATCCTCTGTTCGAAGTCGTCGCTGCTCGAGTATCTGATCTTGTTTCCAAAATTTAACAAATGCGGCTCGTAAATATAATAAAACAAATTGCTACGATAAAAATCTAATATGACTACTTTGACTAGAACACCTATATTTCAGTTAAAAAAAGAAAGAAAGAAAAAAAAGATTTTTTTATTTTTTAGACGTGCTCCAGTGGCGAGGATCGAACCTTCGAACTCTGTCMCTCGGGATTGCTAAACTGCGACGTGAAAAAAAAATATTAAAGAATCATAACCAAGCGCTGTACCTTGCGAGCCGAAGCGCCATTTTAGGTGGACACGAAAATGTCGGATTCGTAGCATTTCTTAAAGTGAGCGCGAATCGTCTTCCGTTCTTTCAGTTTGGACAGAAATACCTTTAACTAATTACCTCACAGGTACTATCAATCTATAATCTATTGTATGCTTGACGCATTTAAACGTATGTAAACAATAATACGAGCGCGGTACGGCGGTTGGTTATGATTCTTTAATAATAAACTCGCTGCATTTTATAACCGTGCCGCATGCTTTCGGCCTGGACACGATAATAATTTCCAGCTGCTATGCTTATTACGGAGTACAAAATCTCTGAGCCTTTTACGTCATTACTTCATCTGCAATGCAGAATGGGATCAGTTTCTAGAGAAAACAAAAGAAATCTGCAACCTCGTTCCCAGGGCCTTATCCGTTCGCCTGAAACCAAGCSAAGGGATAAGTCCCTGGGAGCGAGGTTGAGAAATCTGCCATGTTCTGTCACAAACATGTCCTACAATGCATTGCGTGTACGGTACATGACGTTAAAGCTTCAGAGGTCTATCAGGACCAAAATGCTTGAAAGCCGGACAAAAGTTCTTGATTTATTTCGTTTTTACAGATCATGCCTAGCACAGGTATCAAAATGGACCCAAGTATGAAAGAGTTCTATAACGGCATGAGTCTCAAGAAAACTCACAAGTACGCTTGTTTTAAGTTGTCAGAGGATCTCAAATTGGTTGTATTGGATGAGTTGAGGTTAGGAGAAAAGGCTAATACATCAAGCAGAGAGGAMGATAAGAAGTATTTTGAAAAGCTGAAAGAAAGTCTTAAACCTGACGAACCCCGTTACATTATTTATGACTTTGGA